GAAATTCTTCAAAGGGTCACTACACTGCACACATGGTTTTTTATTACACCAATATCCTAATAACCCTCAAGGTTCGTTTATGGTTTTATGGCCCAACTAATCTTTTCTTTTAATCTGGATAGATTTCTCTTTTTCAAATAAAATGAGATCTATAGAAAGGACTGAATACCAGCTTTTGTCTATCTCTGCTACACTTAAAACTCTCCTACATATATATATATATATATATATATATATAATACTAAAAATGATTTATTCATTTACATAATACTATTGTCTAATTATCTAGAAAAACAAAACGATCAAATTCAATGAATATATTAAATTAAATACCAAGAATTGTACACAACCTATAAAACGCATATTTAAATATATGTAATATAAATGCATATACGTAGGTTGAAACTTAAATAATGGCAGCTATTTATTCACAACCGATACAAAAGAGTTACATGTTTGCTCCTGTTACTGTCCTTCAAAATAGTCACCAGCGTTGTGTAGAACCCGTTGCCAGCGATGTGGAAGGCTTAGTATACTGTTAGCAGAGCCTGCTCTGTTGATAGTACGAATGGAGCGGTCTACTGCCTGTCGAATCTCTGGAACAGTTCTGAAACGAATGCCACGATGGGTTCCGCATGAATTGACAGAAATGCAGAAATGGATGCGTTACGAAGCTGCTCAGACGCACTTGGAGCGTTATGAGCGCGAAGGAGAGGTTTTCTTACGCTGTATCGTAACACTAGATGAGACATGGCAGTAGACCGCGTGACTACTTTAAAGGACAGTAACAGGAGCAAACATATTACTCTTTTGTATCGGTTGTGAATAAATAGTTGCCACTATTTAAGTTCCAACCTACGTAGATTACCAATTATGTATAAGTATGAATAAAATTATTATCTGATTACGTAGAAAAATGAAGCGATAAAATTCTATGAATACATTCTATGAAATAATAAAACTTTTTCACGCCCTATTTTACACATATATGAATACATGTAATAGAGATATACATATACTAAAAATTACATGTATTAGTACGAATAATATTATTATCTAATTATCTAAATAAACGAAACAATGAAATTCAACGAAATATCTACATTTTATGAAATAATAAGACTCCACTTTTCAGTTTTATTTTCAAACATACTCAACTTAGCGTCCTTACTGAGGTCAACATTGAAACGTCATCTATCAACCCTAGGTTATCGCAATTATTAGTCTCTATGGGAATTACCATTAATGTGCTAATGAGAATATAATCTAAAATATAACCAGCATATTTGATATCTTGTAAATACATTGCTTTTACCTCCTTCATAGAAAATAATCTCTCGTTCTAACATTTTATTTTTCTATTACTCATTTATAAAATTTAAAAATAAAAGTAAATTTTTAGGAATCAAATGCATTTGTATTTACTATTCGTTGTAGCTAGTTATTATTTTAATACTAGTTGATGCATCGTCATTGTTTGAATTACGACAATAGAAACACATTTAATCCGTTCAGTGCTACTGATAAATGAATTATATGAAGAATATTATTATCTTAGATAATATACAGTACGTTATCTTATATAATATACAAGTATACATACAATGTTATTTCCCTTATGATTAATTCTATCGAAAATCTTCACATAGTCTCTTCTGAAAACTATTACGAACTTTCCAATTATTTTAACCACACTTCATTGCTTGTAAGAATCGTAAGCAACTGATAAAATATAATATTATTAGTAAAAAACATTTCTGAGATTCAAAAATCAATATTTATATTCTTCTTTATTGTAACGCATATTAAAATTTTGTAGAAGATTTTAAAAATTAATTACTTCTTTTCTAAAAATTTTATACCATTTTGTTTTTATATTATAAAAATACTTTTATATACTCGCAGTTGTATGTATTGGAAACAAAATAAGCGATTAAGATTTTAGATAATAATTATAAATTTTTTAAATCATCTAAAAACTTTTCATCCATCGAAAAATTCGATGAATCCTAATTGTAAATTTGATATACATAATTGTGTATTACTTTTATAAAGATATTTATCAGTATGAGAAATCATTTCTTTTCTCTCGATTGTTATTGATAATACAGACGTCGGAAAAAAAAGGTAAATAAACACGATCTTTACTTTCTTGAAGTTTTCATTGTTTTATGACATATTAGTTTCATATACGTATGTAATATCTCCTTTCTTTCGAATCGTAATAAAGAATAGAAACAAAAAGATACGAAAATTTATGAAAAGAAAAATCTCTAATTAGATTTTATCCGTAAAGAAATAAACGCTTTAATAAAATGCTCACTTTTGTACTCGCTCAGGATTTCGCTAATTAACTTGTTTTCTCTCATATATTGGTTTTTACAAAAAAATTTTCATCTAATGCATACTGAACCTGCATGTTCGAACAACTTCACATGCTTTCAATGCTTAAAATTCCATAAGAGAGAGAGAGAGAGAGAGAGAGAGAGAGAGAGAGAGAAAGAAAAGGACAAAAATAACGGGAAAAGAAAAAATATTCCAGGACCATAAAAAAGAATGTACTGAGTGTTTCCCTTGGAACACGTACAATTACAAAAATCACGACATTACTACAATTAATTTGCATACAATGTTAAATAATTAATAAACATAAACTTAAATAATAATATTAATTATTACTATAATAATATTAATATAATACGTAATTTACGAGTGTAAGTAAATAAACATACTCGATAGGTATGGAAGATACGTTTATTTACAATTTACTTACCGACATTTGAACGAATCAATTAATTATATAATTTTATTTTGTAAATTAATGTATACATTTAATTATATATAAATATAACAAATTAAACAATACATTTTATTTTCAAAAAATGTTTATATTTTAATTATGAATTTAAATTAAATCTACGTAAAGAAATATGTATAGTAGTATATAATAAAGTTATGGTTGGTATGTATCGTGAAACAATGAAAGAAATAGAAAAAAAGAAAGAAAAAGAGAGTGAGAGAGAAAGAAATAGAATAGAGGGAGTAGTCGGTGCTGCATTGGATCTATCCTTTGTCCTTTGTCTAACGCACACTAAATTCCGCATCATTCTATCTCTCTCACTGAGGCCGATCTTTCGAAATCGTGTATATTCGTGACAGATCGGTTGGTAATAAAACCGGCTTACTTTAAATGCTCGTAAGTTATAACGCTTAACAAAACAAGGTAAGTAAACACATGCATAAATTCATATATATATATAACATATATATGAATATATATATGTATATATACGAATATGTAAATGACTTACGTTTTGGAAATTACGTGATGTAACTAACGCCGAGGAGGCGGTGAAAACGCGTGTCGAAACGTCGTACCATCTTGTAAGGAACATTACACGACAGGAGACTGCTGATGCCATTTCAATTTATTTATGTGTGCTGTATGTGTTATGCTGTTTGCGCGTGTGTTTAAACGTTGATATTTTCTTCCTTTTACTTGTTCATCCCAACCAACCTCTCTTCACCTATCCAATTTCCTGTTTCCCCGTTAACAAGAAAATAGAAAATAAAAGGACAATCGTTGATGGCTCTGAAGAAAAGGACTAATTATATTAAAGTAAGTACCTTTCCCTTTTTTTTGTTGGCGGGCGAACACTCTTCACACACATGAATAACCTCACGCGACTATATACCCACGAATAATCATCCATACACGATGACGACGACGTACAGACTAATCATCGTCGGTCACGGCCGGCATCCTTCGTGCCCTTCCGCGCCGGCTCGCCCAGTGCCACTCTACTGTACTATAGCTCGACCAATCACCAATCACTTTTTACCGAACATTCACGAATCACTCGCGCTTTTATGAGTTTTAAATACTTGTATTAGTTGCCATGTATTACGGACCGCGGGAATTTAGTTTGATTATTCTGGCGGGAATTTGAAACCTTTTGACGGAGTTAAATGAAATATAACTATAACATACTATTGGATGAATTAATGCGCATGTTTCCTAGAAATGGATTTATATATTATTTGAGAACGAAATATGTGGCATATATATTTCCAACAGTTTAGTTTTATCGTGAAAATATTACTTGGAATTTTTAACCCTTTGAGTGCTAAAGGCGTAAATATGTGCTTTCACAAATCTATCAATGTGTACGAGAGATGTAAATATACGTCCTTATGTATTCATATAGGAAAGGCGTAAATTTACGTTCTTTGCATTGTTTTTACTATACATCTTGTACTGTTTTACCAATTGACATGTGATGATCGCACCGTTTATATTGGTGGATTCCTTTGAGATCGTGCTGCAGTCAAGGTTAAAGAAAATTTTTGATTGATAAGATTAATGTTGTGACTTTCTTTTTTATTCAAATTAAATATGACATAATAAATTATTATCATTTGCTAATGTTGCAGGAAACTGTTTAGGGCACTTATCGTATAATGGTTATAGTATTTACCAATGTATTTTGTTTTTGTTTTATGTTATAATTTGATATAGTGCCAATATTGATAGTATTAAAAATTGTGATTATATAAAAGAATAGTGTCATGTATCCGAATAATCTTAACTTTTCCAATTCTGTACTAAAAATCAATGAATTTTATCATTATGTTTATTTTTCGAATTATACTAATCGAATAATTTTAACGATCCTGTCACGATTACGATATGTTCTATTACAAATTGGTTCTGTGTCAAAGCAAGACAATTTAAATTTAATCTTGTTTCAAAATATCAGAGATATCAGCTGTACCACAATTTCTTATTTTACAATTGGTTTTCTTGTGATATTCTATGCTGACGTGTGCAGCTTTATCTACGGTGATTATTATAGTTTCGAAAATTTTTTGATAAAGAAGGAAGAATTCCTAATCGGTTGGCAAGTTGTTCATAATGACATCAGCTATTTATATGATTAGTATGACAGAAAATACATACTTTATAACTCATTTTCTGGTAAATTAACTCTTGGCTGGTTTAATTTAACCTTTTCTTATTCGTTGATCTTTAATGCCAGAAGAATGGATCGTAAAAGGTAGACTGTATGATATTAGAGTTTATTTTCGTGATCATGCAGGATCAGGAATCGTTCACGTTGTTGGCGGTCTCTGATCTCTCTGATCTCTGATCAATTATTTAATATTATCAAGAAAAAATTATAGTTTTTTAAAGCAAAGAATATTGATACAATAAATTTGTCTTTGTTCCTTTTGAGTACTACTTGTTTGGGTTTACTATTGATCTTCGTTGGTCTCCTGGTAAAATATTCTTATTTACTTTATATATATATTAGGGTGGGTAAAAAAAATGACTTATTTTTTTTTTTCAAGTGCCACGGAAAAATGGATTGTTAGACACCTTAAAACAATTCTCACCAAATATGAGCTCTTAATTTTAATAGGAAGATCCTCCGCATCGCAGTTTTTTAATTTTTTTTTCTCAGTCTAATAGAATAAAATTCATACCTCATCATTAATTGATTGTACAGAAAAATGTTCTAGACGAATTTTGTAGGAAATTTAATGCTCTACAAGAAAGGTGTTTTATACTTTTTTCGTAAACCTCACCATTTGAATGATATTGAAGATTTACATTTGATGATTTTTAGACAAATTTCATTTTTGCTTATGAATTTTATAACTCGACAATAAATGACTATTAAAAAGTGCACAATACAAATTTTTGTAAAAAATTAACTGTTCTATAAAAATGGTGTCTTATGTTTTGACGATTAAATTAGGCGTTCAGAAGATATTCATCATCAAACTTTTATGTGTAGTGATTTGTGTCTCTGAATATCTTTTGAACGCTTAATTTAATCGTTAAAACATAAGACACCATTTTTATAGAACAGTTAATTTCCTACAAAAATTGTTATTGTGCACTTTTTAATAGTCATTTATTGTCGAGTTATAAAATTCATTGCTCAATGATTGAATAGAATTCAATTCAAGTGCTCCCAACAAATATTCTCATTTGATGTCTATCGGATTAGGATATTCAGGAGGAGTTATTTTTTATTTTATATCCAGATTGATATTTTCTAGCGATTTAGATCACTGCAATATCATAACGATTCATCTAATATGTGGTTTCTTTGCAAACGTCCTGGCACCATTCTGTGTATCAGAACAAAATACAAGCACACAGTTTCGTTTATTAAATCTTTTCTGGCAATTAATTTTTTTAATTGCTTTGATGGAACTAGTGACTGTCACTCTAACACCTTTACTTCTAATTTTAAACGCCTTCGGTTTTTTTAAACACAGATCGCAAATTTTTAAAGTTAACGAATCTACGATTAGTCTTGAAATGAAAAAAGGGTTTTCTAATAAAAACATTACATACAATAAATACAAAGAATCGATTATAAATAATACAAATTTATTATCCATTAAATTTACTGGAGAAAATTCTTATCAACCTTCGAACGAGTTGTCGCGATTTGAGGAAGATGAATTTACTAAGAAAAATTATTCAAACGAGATAGTGACCATGAAAAATGAAGAATTGTCTGATTCTTTGCAATCATCAGGTCTGCATCATTCAGTAAGTCGTTAGATTAAAGATAAAAATTTATAAAAAAAAAAAAAATATTCTAATCATTTATCCCTAATCATCATAGGAAGAAAAGTACACAAATTAAGACAAATATATATTCTTTCTGTGTACAATTTGATCTCATTAGAGGATCAATTTGCTAATGGTGATAGGATCGGTATAGATCTAACGAATAGCAGGAAATATTTCTCTAAAACTAATTTGCAACATTCTCCAAATATTTCTCATTATTCAAAAGAAATTCAACGTAAACTGAATTTAAGTTGTCACGTTGATATTAAAAAAAATAGTGATAATGAAATTACTATTATAAATGAGTATCAATTACGAAGAACTCAAAAATTTATGAACTTGCACGAAGAATTGGATAAACAAGAGTTCAATGAACTTTAACGAAGAAAAAAATATTATACAGAAGTAATTCTTACATGATATGTAATTTTCATAAACTCTGTGATGCTGAACCGTGAGATAAAATAAATGCATGTTTCATTCGATTTTATAGCATATCGTAAATCTAAAAAGGAAACAAAAATACTATATAATTATCTTCATAATTTTATATTCTTCAAGTGTGATCGATGTTGTATTTCTTATATACGACCGTTTTAAATAATTATTTTATTAGAACTTATGGCCTATTCCGTACAGTTATTACAATATTTTACAATAGTGTAATCATAAATTAAATAATCAAGGTCGTTATTTAAGGTACCGTACACACATTCTAAACGCATTTTTTTTGTAAATCTAGGATAACGGCGATTCTTCTCATTCGTAACAGTCTATTAAAGCGAAACATTTTCGAAAACGCTTCCTTATCATGTCTTTCTCATTTTAAAACGCAAAATGCGTTTCAGATTGAAAATAAAATGAACGAATAAAAAAAAAATATATTATTTTATTATTACATTAATGGACATTAAAAACAGAATTAAAATACATGCATTATCTTCTTTATCTACATAAAAAACAATTATAAGTAATGAATTTTTAAAAAATTGTTTCACACAAAAAATGAAACAATATAAATAACAAATATTTTAGAATAAAATTACTTGGAAAAATGAAAAAAAAAAAAAAAATATTATCAACTATTAATTCTTTTTTTTTTGTACAATTCGGAATATATTATTATTATTTTTTCCAGGGTATTATGTTTCCGTTTTTTGGTTTTGTCACATATTATTGTCAGGCGGCGATAAATCATAAAACTGTTACGGCCGCCGTGCAGAATGAAAATTTCAAAAACATTAACTACAAATTTCAACGTGTATGTTTATCTGTATGTGTGTGTTTGTTTTATGTCATCTTTTTAATATGATAATACAATTATTATATACAACACGATAAAATGGCACGATTCGACAAAATAGATCGATCATCATTTGTATAATAATAATCCATCGCTGTTACTAATTATTATTATACTTACTATAACTAATATTATTATTCTTAATATTATTAATTATTATTATTATTAATTATTAGTATCATTATTATTGTTATCGTATTATTAACAAGAAATTTTGTACAAGGTTTATCGTTAAAACGTCCACAAATGGTACGTCCACAATTTAACGGCAGTATAGAAATGGAAACAAATATACAAACGTAACAAGATAGTAGTTATTAGATAAAATGTTTAAAGATAATATGGCCAAAGGAATTTCGCCTTATTTAAAAAAATAAAATTATCCGTTAGACGACGTCATTGTACTTAAAAGATTTTTTCGAATATAAACTTTCGTCCTTTTTATTTTTGTATTTCTTTTTTTTTTATGTTCGATTGCTCGTTTTGGACGGGAGCCTTAGGCTCGTGATAATTAATGATATAAATAATTTTTTTTTTACATCAAATCTGTGTGTCAATATGTGAATATCTTTTTAATAGTATTACGATACTGATATTTTTTTAAACAATATTTTAAGAAAGATTTATGACAATGACGTATACAATAAAAATTTGTTAATCAAATGTAAACGTTAAAATCGCAAATTTTTGTTCATAGATTGATTAACATTTAAAATTGAACTTTGTATAATTGCGGGGAGAGTTGATAATAAATTAAATAAACTTTTATATACAATATACATTGTACGCGCGCGCGCGCGTGTGCGTGTGTGTACAATAGTAGTACTATTCTCGATTGCAAAAATTCGTAAATAAGTAATGTAGCCTTATTAACGATTCTATCAGAGAAAGTACAATAACATAGCAGGTGTTTGATCGTATATTTCCAAAACGAGCAATTTGTCATTATCATTGACTAATTGCTGTCGTAGAATCGTTATCAATCAAATAAACGACAGAGGAATAATAAATTGGACATATTGCTGTATGAGATGATACATCAGAACACAGCTTACGCATTATCATTTAATATTTATCAGTCAAATTGTTGATTTTCAATATTAATTAAAACGAATTTATAAACTTTGATAGGTGTCTTCTTTTTCTTGTTTTCATTAAATAAAAAATATTCAAAGAGCGTTTTAAAAGTGTTCCACCGATTATTGAAAGCGAATACGAATTTCATCGCGCGAATGCATTTTTTATCTTCGGAAATTTTTAATCTTCAATCCAAATTTTATCCCAAGCTTTTCCTATAATTGATCTAATTTTTTTCGTTAAAATCTAATATTTTACACCTACACGCGTTGACATCAAAATAGTGTATTATAATATTACATTAATGTACAAACGGACGCGATCATACACCTTTTTTACTGATCATTACTCTCATCGTCGGTACCAAGAATAGTATTGTCAAAATATACAAAAATCATGATAGATTTTATTTTGTTTTTGGTTTTCCCAAAATATGCTTATACAACAAGAATTAACATACACTGTGTCTCCGAAATAAGATGGGCTAGAAAGGAACTAATCTGACAGCCCAAAATATGCGTTTTGTTCGCTTGGACGATATTTTGAGTGTGATAGTAATTAACGATCGATCGCTAGATGAGAGACGGGCTTTTTGTTTTTTTAATTATTTAAGTTTGATCAATAGGTAGATCAATTGATTGTTCGTTCGAACGAGGATTAATCATTTTTTAAACACAGTAACATGTTATTTTTGGACAGATAATACCTCGATAGAATTATTAACTTGACGAACTTTTCGAAATACTCTGTTTGGTTTAGAAAAACACATTATTTTTAATATTTCTTCCAACTTCATGTAGATATTTTCTTTTTAATCATTCGATATACAACTATATTTGTTTTTTCACAAATTTTTGTAATTGTTCCTCAACAATGTATTTTTTCGTTTGAAAAAGAAAATTAAGTTCGATAGAAAAATATGAAGCATTCGTTTGGTATAAAAATGAACATGAAAATATTACAATTTAGTTTAAATTTCTTTCTGATCCAAACAAAGTAAGAATTATCAAGAAATTGTTTTTTTCATCCTGACAACGAAGATATAATGCAGATCGTGTTCTGCGAGTTTGAGTTAGAGAGGCCTTTTCTCGAAATCCTTCCTAATTTTAATGACGCAACAACGATAATAATAATTATATATATTATTATTAATTATATATATAATTATTATATTATAAAGTTAATAATAGTACTATTAGCTTAACAACGATCGACAGTTGCATTGTCATGTAACTGTTAAATCGTTTAGTGACTAGTAGCTTTGCAGGTTTTCATCGATTTGTTAGGCCATCACTTCACTGGTTATGGTCCTTCTCCGATTAGGATGTTATAATCCAGCGAAATATATTTTAATTTACAAATAATTTACAAGTCTTCCACTAATAAACGACGTATTTCGTGTACTGCGGAAGCGAGAATCCAAGCTTGAAATCGAGATATAGCTGTGTTTCATGCGATTGGCGTTTGCTAGGTCATCACCGTATCGGTCAGATCTTCCTTCAACCATTGTGGAATCGTTCTGGATCCTAGTCGTTTTAATAATTTTACAAGAGCCGTGTTGTGTGACAAGTAATATCTCTGAAACAGAAAAAAAGATAAATTAATATTTCGTTTCAATAATTTCGCAAGGGTATCATGTTAAGCAAAAAATAGAGAATTCTAAATTGACATAGAAAAATATTAAATATTTTTCATAACTAACTTGTAAAAATTTGTAGGATTTATCCTCCATCGGTGGGTACTGACGTCCTTTACTTTTTCCGAGACACTTAGTACGATCTTCATTGGTAACTTGACAAAAGAATCCTTTTTTAGGATCATACCTGAGATGCGAGGAATAATTAAATACTGGAGTGATTTTAAGAAACCTTTGCAATTCGTGCAACGTTTCTACTGGATTTTGTCGCAATTGTTCGCCATCGATGATTTGCACTTGCTGAGGTGGATAAAACGACAACCATCTTTCTAAATGTTGAGCATACTTGCCGGGATTGAGGCATCTATAATTAGAAATAATTTTTTATGTATATGTATAAATATTTATAATTAAAAAAAAATCTTTTAAATGAGATTCAGAAATTATACCTATTCCGAAGGTCTCTTAATGGTTTTGGGGCTGTATCGCTGGCCGTAATGACCGAATGAAAGGAATAATTATTTGCTATAGGGTCACCGTGAACTCTAGTATGTTGATACCACGAATAAGCTCTTCGTGCTGGCGAAAGTAATATTGTAATGAGTTTAGCTCTTGGTAAAAGTGCATGCGCCCTTCTTGGAACCAATTCGCCATCGAAATAAGTTGCTGATTTTTCGAAAAGATATCTAGAACTTTCGTTTTTTGATGCCGGAAAGAAACTCATGTACCTGAGATCAAGAAATGAAGAACATTATTATAATAATGATAATTTTTAAGATAGTGAATAAATTTGATTAAAATTTTATTTATCAACCAACCAATCTAAACCTTTATAATAATTTTTCCCATTGAAAAATTGTATTTCTTCGAACGTGTCTGGGCTGGGTAAATTACTGCTTATGGCCGGATGGATGGACAGAAAAGTATAGAGTGCAGTGGTACCAGTTTTTTGAGGACCAATGACTAAGAATCTTGGCAATTGATCACACGTTTTGTTTCTCGACCAGATTTTTTGATGCCTTTGGTCGTCGCATGGATTCTGTAAAATTTCGAATAAGAACAATGACTCACGTGATAAGGTCAATAATTTCAATTATAATATTGACAAAAAAATTCTATCCGAAAATTTATTCTGTATTCTTTATATCTTATTTATTTTACCATGATAAAATTATTGTTTGTTTTATCGTATACGTCAGTGGTTCCCAATTATTTTTGTCCTATCGCCCCTTTTCCTAACAAAATTATTGCTTATCGCCCCCTTAAAAATTAATAAAATTAATATCTTAATTTTGTTGACTGGTGACCTTTTTTCTTTTTAGAAACTGAGAAAAACTTTTTTATTGCACTCATGACCTTTTTTACACTGCACACCCGCACACTTAAAGTTCCATTTTTCACCTGTGGTGGTGTCAGTCGTGTCATTCATCGCCCCCTGCTTCATCACCCACTTTGGGAACCACTGGTATACGTGATTCCGAATTTATTTTAAGTCTAGGCTATATTTAATATAGTATAATAGCACTATTTCGTGTTAAAAAAAAGATATGGTGCTATGTTGTAAAAAATTCATCTATTTTAAATGGGAAAAATATTATTGTATTTATTAGTTTTTATTTAGCGCATAAAGTAACAATTACAAATTTAATTTAATTTTTTCTATTTTCGTTTAATTATAATGAAGAATTCTGAATTGAATATTTTTTTTATAAAATTAACTACTAAAAAAAAATCTTTCAACTTACACCCCACACAGGATCGGCTTCCTCTGGATACAGTTGAAAATAATGTTCGCCGAGTTTAAGCGGCGGTGCACTCGACAATCTCAAATTTGTCCAACATTGAATAAACTTGATTACGGATTCGAAGGTATACAGTGCCAAACGATCGTTTCCATAATTGGACATGTGTGTCATAAAAATATTTATCTAGAAAAAAGTGAAAGATCGCAATTAATGATTGGACGATTAATCAATGAGTATGTTCAAAGTTGTGTAGTTACTATGAAAGAGTGGTGGAAAAAGGAAGAGGAGGGAGAAGAGGAGAAGAAGGGTTTGAACGGGGGTAGAGTTTACGCTTCGCTTACAGGATTATAAACGATCGTTTGAAAGAGTTCGCCGCCCTGTATCGATTCGTCCAACTTATCCCTTCCGCCTGGGTACCTTTCTATAAAGATGGTGTGAGTGAAAAGGCCGCACGTCTGTCTGGGGAGTACCTTGTAAGAAATAAAAAGTAAGATTCTAGTAAATTTATTCAGAATTTAAATAAAAATTATATATATATATTATTTTATTATTATATAAATATATATATTAGGGTGGGTCAAAAAAATCAATTGTTTTTTTTTTTACAAGTGCCACGGAAAAATGGGTTGCTAGACACCTTAAAACAATTCTCACCAAATATGAGCTCTTAATTTTAATAGGAAGATCC